TAAGTCTGATTTTCAGAAAAAAATTAGTCTTATATTATATGAAGACATCTCAGAATCTCTTTGAAAAAGAAAGATTGCTTAAAATTCAGACAAACCAGATCCATCACAAAGATATTCCAAAATAAAATACTTTTTTAATCATTTATATATATATATAATTAATAATAATAATTCTAGCAACTTCCCCTTGTAAACCTTCCTCCAAGAAGGTCTTATTTTAATTTTATAATATCCACACTATTCTATCTATTTTGTAGAAAAACAACAAAACAAAATTATTATAATTTTTTGAAAATTTATAAATAAATTAAGAACTCGGTCAATCGTAACAAACGTAGTTACAAAAGTCTTCTATTGAAAAATGACCGACCCCGTGTTCATGGGTTGAATTAAGTTGAGTTAAGAGATTTCAAATTAAATATTTAAACAAATTATTTGAGTTGTATATTTGTCGAAAATAAATAAATTCTAACTACATGATGGACTGGCTCAATCCAACCATTATATATTTAGGTTAGGTTAGCTTGGATTGTTTATTTAAAAAATAATGGAAATATTAGTAACTAATTATAATATATATTTACGTGGTCATTAATTCTAAAAATTTAATTAAGAAATTTGAATTGAGAAAAAAAAAAAAGATATTCAAGCCATGAAAAATTGTGCTCCAAGGTTTTGAGAAATTACATTCTAGAAGGAGGATACAAAATTTAAAGAATAAATTATTTAATGAAATAAAAGCAAGACAGATAGGATTTACATGGTGGCAAGGACTTTGTCTATTGGTGAGTCATCACAAAAGTTACACCTAACATACTTTTTTACTTTTGAGATTCAATTTCTCAAATTTTATTGTTACTTTTTAAATATTTTTCTTTAGCAATTTTCTACATTAATTTACATGTGGTAAGTACATGATAAGAATGACACGTGGCTCTGAATCAGTGGCAAGCTTTTAGAATCCTCATATGATAAGGTTTGCCCCCTCGGAATCCAAATAGCTTTCCGGCTCAATTGGTAGTCGGTCGAGTCGACCTCATCTTCATCTTGTCAGCAATAACCTCATTCATCGATTGAGCTGATCTATGAATATTCCTTAAGGACTCGCTTTGCGACATATCCCACTACGACACGTCGCTACTTCTAGTTACCTTAAAGAGCCATTAAAGCACTGGCAAATACCCTATCAGAAATTCCGCCTATAAATAGGGATCTCCTGCCTCATTTACAGGTACACAAATACTATATTCTCGCTCGGATATAGCTCGACCATCTACTAACTTAGACATCGGAGTGTCTTCTGTTTTGCAGATTTTATATTAGTTAAATTTCCAACTCGTCCTCTAGATTATCTTCCACTCGAGTCGAGGTTTGCAGACTTGGTCAATTTTTTGATAAAATTTAACAGAAGTTATAAATTAAGTCACTTGGATAAATTTAAAGTTTTGGCGGATTGATTTATGGGTTTAGGATTCTCACTTTACTCAACTCATAAAGTGCATAATTTAATTGATAAAATTATTAATTTAGGATTTTAATTGACTTACATAACAAGGTTAAAAGGCTATAAATTGATTTTTTTCCCTCATTTTTCAAAGAGAAAAATACATTGAACCTCGATAAACAATATCACTTTTACAAAGAGCTCCTCCATTTAACATCTGACTGACAAACAACTTAATTCATGATAACATTTATTAGCAACAAAGGCACCATTTAAAGATCAAGGTTGAAAACTTAAAGATCTAAATGGAAATTAATGTACAAAAAGAAAAATTGGTATTGTATAATTAAAGTGATGCTGCCAAAACGAGCATAACTTAGCGGTAATTGGTATATATCTCTAAAAAAGAAATTGTGAGTTCGATGATGGATTTTGGTACTCTTAATTACGTATAGCTCACTAATTATTTTAAACAATAATTTAGATTAGGTTTATAACTTTTTTTTCCTTTTAAATTAGACTTATATCCTATTTTGATTCATGTACTCACCGTTTCTGTTCATTTTGGTATATATATTTTCAAAACATCCATTTTAGTCCTTGTATTTTCAGCTTTTGTCCATTTTTGTTTCCATATTTTGAGAATGTTCATTTTGGTTCTTGTACTTTTAAAAAATGATCGTTTTGGTTTATTTATTTTATTTTTTATCTCATTTTTTAACTACAATTTTAACATGACACTATACTTAATAATTTTATTGAAAGGTACTCATAACTTTTATTAAAAAGTTTCCTGGGTAAAAAACTTGTATTAAAAATATTTGAAAATAAAGACTAAAATGAAACAAAGTTGAGGTACAAATACCAAAATTGAAGTATAAATACCAAAACTAACCATTTAAAAGTGCAAGAATTGAAATGAACCAAAAAATTCAAGGATCGAAATAGGATTTAAATCTTTAAATGATTGATAGTCTTGGTCAATTTTTGTTATTTTGATTGAGAGTGATTGATTTAATTTCGTTTTTTTAGTACAATGTTGGTGGTGAAATTAATATTGGACACGCGTACGTTCCAACTTAGTTTGAAGTCACCAGAAGGGATAAAACAGACCATCCGTACCTGCCGACCTGTCTACCTACCAAGCTAATGAGAACAACCAATCTCCCAACCTGAGGAATCCGACCTCGGGTCCGACTACCGACCTGAGGGCTCGACGACCGTAACCGCCGGTCGGGATGGCTCCAACGGCTTTGTCCCCTCGCCTACCTATAAAAATGACACTCCACCCCACATCTCAAGTACGTAATTCTGTCTGAGAACGATCTACTATAGCTCGAGCTCACGCTAACTTGAGCGTCAGAGTGTTTGTTCCTTGTGCAGGTCTCACTGTCTCAAGATGTTGCACCTTGACAGCTCACTCCAAATTAGTTCGTGACCGACCTACAGAATTTTGCATCAACATACAATATATGGGATAGAGAACTCAACCTCGCGACTAAGTTGAACATAGATATCTTAACTCACTGAACCATGCTATGAGCTATGTTTAGGTTGAATTTAATTACTTTTACTTCTACTTTTATCAATGTCAATTTTCTTCTTTCACGTAACCATATAATTTATTTTGTGCCTATATTTCTCTAACATGGAGTCAGAATCGATTGGATTGCATTTCTATTGATTATAGATACTATTTGAATAAAAATGTCAAAGTAAATTTGGAAATACATTTCCTTTGAAAAATTGGGTGGTTAATTAATGATAATTTAATGTAGTACAAATTCATTCACTTTATTATTTTTTTATTTTTAAAAAATCATTAAAAGATAATTGACTTCTTCAAACAGTCTTAATAGTGCTTCCATTGTCTTCTTAATTATTCTATCCCTAAAATCTTGAGACCAATAATTCACAAATTAGACAAAATTATTTGTTTAGGATTTTAAGTCTGAATCTTTCTTTGACTTTGAAATTCAATAATTTGAGAAAGTGTTTATTATTTCCATTTTTTGGAAAACTAAACTTCTTCGAAAGATTTTTCTGCCGTACCACTTGAGAGGTGTATTAGTAGGTGTCAATTACAGTTAAGCAATATTTATTTTAGTAAAAATATTTAAAAATTATGATAAAATGCTTTATAAAAATATATATAGATTAGTAAAATATATTTTTATCGCTGAAACTTGAAGATATCCATTTGGTCACTAGAATTTCTAAAGTGACACTTTTCGTTGGGAGATTTTGTAAAATGGTTCTAAATTGTCTCGATATTTGATTGTTAGCATTAAGGTGATGTGACAATTAAATTTCTGATGGTATATTGTTGATTTAACAAAATATATTAATTTAATAATATTTATATTGTGAATGTACTTTTTATCTAATTTCTCTCTCCTCCTCGAGGAGGCAGCGGACAACAACGATTTCACATGTTGTTTTAATCGAAAAATTCTGATTAAAGAAATAAGATCTTCAAGAACACTCGAAGATAAGGATCCTGCAAGAAAGGAATTAGCACTTCGAAGATTTTGTACAAGATTCAATTTACTTCAAAATTTCAATATCAAATGTTTGTATACCTCTCCCTTCCTTCTAAAGGAGGGTAGGTAACTGTTGGTACTATGGATTCAAATTCACGATTATTCTCAAGATTATAGACGTGAAATACAGTTGCACGGTCATGTATTCTAATGTTAGAACTGTGTTCGAAAATTTCTATGATATAAGTAATTTAAGTTCGGTAATTTACCGAACAAGTTCTCCAAACTGGCTTCCAAACTTGACTTTGCGAGATTCACGCACCTGGTCTTCTATCGAGTCAGTGATGACGTGTCCCTTGAGTAAAAATTCTGGCTTTCATCACATGTTAACTCATAATTTTAACAAATTTGTGCTTGTGTAAACTTAGAGAATGGAGGTCTTAAAAATTTTAGATTTTTTTAACTTTTTTAAGGATTAGCATCAAATTAGAAAAGATGTTTTGAATTTCATAATTTTCAAACACCAAGCATTAGACTGATGAACCAAAAGAGTTGGCCCAAACTTAGAGAATGGAGGTCTTAAAAATTTTAGATTTTTTTAACTTTTTTAAGGATTAGCATCAAATTAGAAAAGATGTTTTGAATTTCATAATTTTCAAACACCAAGCATTAGACTGATGAACCAAAAGAGTTGGCCCTGAAGAGAGGATCATGAGAAACAAAACTTTTGAAAATGGAAGCAATTTCCAAAGTCCAAAAGAAAAAAGAAACGCCAAATAAACAGCGTTGGGAATCAACCACCAAATCCATTTTCCTTTTTCTTCTCATTTCTCTTTCAGACAGAATACGACTCATCGGATTCTTGCTCGAAGCTTCATCCGAATCCATAAAATGGAAGCCGCTTGCTCATCCTCTAATCCCACCACGTGTCGTTCTCCGTCTCTCATCTTTCGACACGTCGTCTCTCGTGCCACAGCGACACTCATTTCCTCCCCCCTTGAAAACTGCCGCAGATATTTTACCCACCATCCCCACTCGCGAAATCAAGAAAATGACTCACCCACTTGGTGAATTCGCGGAAAAAAACAAAACCCAGCAGCAAAAATAAACTTCAGTGTTTAAAGTTGAAGCTTTTTCAAGTTTTTGTGGCGTTGGGTCGGAGGAAAAGTCAAAGATGGGGAAAGAAATTGAAACTTCTCCCTCTTTGTGGCAGTGAAAGTTATTCCAAATAGAGAGGTAAAGTAAATTAATGGAAAGTGGAGGATTGGGATTGACCTAACAAATTGTATATTTTATCATATATATGAAATCTTGTGTTGGTATTTATATTTTAGTGGAGCCCATTTGAGGGGTTGCATATGGGCATTGCTGGCTTCGAGCAATCTCTGTGTTCGTCTTCTTATAAAGGGGATTGTCAGCGGAGAAAGAGGATTATTAGAGACGGAGGATCAAGAGACTTCTACTATTTTCGTTTTTGTTCTCTTCATCAAACAAGATTCTGGGGCTTCTTCTTCTTCTTCTTCTTCTTCTTCTTCTTCTTGTGTAGTTTCTGAGTATATTATTGCCTGTGACATTAGGAACAAGTTTTGGGAAGGAACTGGGACCAGTAAAAAACCCATTTTCCTCTTTTGGGGATGATGGATCTGTCGATCTAACAATTTTACTCGCACATGTATTGCTGTGTCTCTTTTAGATCTCCGTCATTTTCATTTGGTATCATCCAGTAGAAGCTGACCCCAACTGGCCAGAATAGCCTAATTACAGTGAGTTTTCCATACTGTTCTCCGCTTATTTCCGTCTTTTTTTTTTCTTTTTCTTTATCGTTACTGTTGAGGAAAAGAATCTGTGGTTGATTTTTTTCCATCCCCCGTCAGTTTCAGTTTTCTCTCTGCTTAAATTATTGACTGTTCCTTGTTCTCCAACTTCAACTGTGGAAATGATTGAACTCTAGAATGTAGAGGTAGATTTTGTTCAGATTCTTGTTTCCCACTGCTCTTCCCCTTGCTCTTTGTTTCTATTTTCTGTTTGTTTGCTGGGGATTTTGAGTATTAAATAGGGGGGAATATGGGTTTGCCTTTGATGAACTGAGGTTTTAACCATTAGCCCTCTTTTCAATGTCTCTTCATTTTTTTGTGGCTCATCTTTGATTGTTGGGTCTTCAGGGAAGGATTTTGAGGTAGGATTGGTGTTAGCATCCATTTTGGATGTGGAGGAGGAATTGGAGGCAGGCTCTGGTGCAATGAGGGATGTTATCAAGCTTGATGGACTTTCTGAGGGCCTGCTGGCAGCCATCTGCTAATCGTCGCCGCCATCATCGGGGTGGTGGTTCTGATTCAGTTGGCTGCCAAGATGGGTTACTTTGGTACAAGGACCATGGCCACCACATCAATGGAGAGTTCTCAATGGCTGTTGTCCAGGCCAACAATTTACTTGAGGATCAGAGCCAGCTCGAGTCTGGCCCGTTGAGCTTGCTCGAGTCTGGACCCTATGGAACCTTTGTAGGAATATACGATGGCCATGGCGGCCCCGAGACGTCACGGTTTGTATGTGATAACTTGTTCCAGCATCTCAAGGGTAAGAGGAGTTTAAACACCCTGAATCTCTTAAATGCATCCTTTCAGAAGTTCGAGTGTGCTGCACGTATTAGCTTTAGAATTACTCACGAGTATTCAAGTAGCAGATACCATCAAACAAACTATAAATAAATGATTTAATGAGTCATTCCACACCTGTATAGCTTAATCTTTGAGACACTTGATTTCAAGTTGAGTCTGTGAAATGCTTCCTTTTGAAATTTAGGATTTTGAAATTTAGGATTTGTCGCACGTATTAGTTTTAGAATTACTAATTTACTATGGGGTTTAAGTAGAAGATACCATGAAACGAACTATAGCTAGTTTAACGAGTCAGCCTCAGTTTCACCATTTGAATTAGTTCATAAATAGCTTAATCTTAAAGACATCTGATTTCAAGTTGAGACTTCTGCTGAACATTGGGTGATATTTTGCTGTACCTCAGTGTTCGCCACGGAAGAAAAGACAATGTCTGTGGATGTGATAAAGAAAGCATTCCAAGCAACAGAAGATGGGTTTCTCTCTCTTGTCACCAAGCAATGGCCTCTGAATCCCCAGATTGCGGCTGTTGGTTCTTGCTGCCTGGTTGGTGTGATTTGTGGCGGGATGCTCTACATTGCCAACCTCGGCGATTCCCGAGCTGTGCTGGGAAGGCTCGTACGGTCTACCGGGGAAGTTCTTCCAATTCAGCTGTCAGCAGAGCACAATGTCAGCATACAATCCGTCCGCCAGGAGATGCAGTCTATGCACCCTGATGACTCCCACATAGTAGTGTTGAAGCATAATGTATGGCGTGTAAAGGGCTTGATTCAGGTACTTCCTAAGCATGTGACTCTGAGATTTTCAGTTTCTGGCTGTTTTTAAGTAGAAAGTGTATTAAATCTTGCTGTGCCATGCTTAGGGAAGGCGACTTGATATTTCATAGAATTCAGCTAGGTCGTGTTTATGTTTCGTGTTTGTATCCGTGCATCTTAGTTCATAAGTTATGAGGGTATGTCTACTATCATGGGAAAAGTCCATTTCGAGTAAGACCCTGAGAGTTCAACTTTCTGGCTATTTTTAAGTAGTAAAGAGTTTAAATCTTGCTGTGCCATGCTTAGGGAAGGCGACTTGATATTTCATAGAATTCAGCTAGGTCGTGTGTATGTTTCGTGTTTGTATCCGTACATCTTAGTTCATAAGTTACGAGGGTATGTCTACTATCGTGAGAAAAGTCCATTTAGAGTAATCTTTTTTCTTTTTTTTTTTTTTATAATTGGGGGTCGGAGTTTTGCTCCTCTATACCCAGGGGCACATGCACCTACCTCCAGGTCCGAATCTGGGAGACATCAAGGGTTTTTGGTATTAAGCTCACCAAACGGTTCGCACCTGAGACCCCTAAACTAGTATGACCAAGAGGCTTCAAGTCCTTGCCAATTGGGCCCCCTCTGGGAGCTCATTTCGAGTAATCTTTATGAATGTGTAAATCAAGTATAACCAGTGGAGTGGACATTTTTTTCCCTTATTAATATTTACCGACCCGTCCATCCATGTGTTAGAGCTTTTTAGATGTCATTGGTGAATGTTAGGTTGCTAGCACTTCTGCAACTATTGTCTATTGCTGTGTTATTCCGGGCTTTGTCATTCTTTTCTTAGTATCAGCCGAATCGAATCGAATAGGCATGTCGAGTCGAGCCAATTGATCCCGCATTCCATTGGCTGGAATGCTGTATCTTTAAGCTTATGGCAAACGATTAGTTTAGGTTAATGAAATCAGAGTTGTAAAATAACCCATTTCAGAATTAGTGCATATCATGAAATGTCTTTCTTACCATGAAGTCCGCTAGATTCATTTGTTTCTACATTGGTCTCATTCCGCTCTTTTGCAAAGAAATAAAGGAACTTTGACGTTCATTCCCTCGATAGTGCGGGTGAATTGTTTTTGCTATAAGCCTCCTGTGACACTCCTAATATTGTATGGACAAGCCATTTGAAGGTTCCTTTTTAACTCGACTACAGATATCTCGATCAATCGGAGACGTATATCTCAAAAAGCCAGAATTTAACCGGGAGCCTTTGTATGCGAAGTTTCGACTCCGAGAACCCTTCAGTAAGCCTATTCTGAGCTCGGAACCAGCAATCTCTGTCCACGAACTCGATGTGAACGATGAATTTATCATATTTGCTTCTGATGGGCTGTGGGAGCACCTTAGCAACCAGGATGCAGTTGATATAGTTCACAAGCATCCTCACAGTGTAAGTTCTTTTGTCTCTCTGTGTAAAGTTCTTAAAAACTTGGTTGTTCTGATAATCCTCCTCTCCATCTATGTATGTATCATTTAGGGAAGTGCAAGGAGGCTGGTGAAAGCGGCGATGCAGGAAGCAGCAAAGAAACGGGAAATGCGATACTCGGACTTGAAGAAGATCGACCGTGGGGTTCGGCGCCATTTTCACGACGACACAACGGTGATCGTGGTGTTTCTGGGGTCGAGGGCAGGGGGGAGGAGCCCTGTTGTGTCAGTGAGAGGGGGAGGAGTGAATCTATCTGCAAAGTCGCTGGCTCCATCAGAGCAGAGCTCAACTCCATGAATGAAAATAATCAAAGCTTTCGAGTTTTTGAGTGCCCTCCTCTGGGATTCAGTGACCCCACCAAGTTGTATATCAAGGAGAGATGAGAGAAGGTTCACTTCATTGTTTAAATGCTCAGCTCAGCTCAGCTCAGCTCAGCCCAGTGTAACATTTTTATGTCTTTTTAACTTTCTAATTCTAAGAACTTCTGATGAAACTACACTCAAAATCTGGCAATACAGCTTCACACGTTGGGAGATTCTTTCTTTCTTTTTCTCCCTCCCCTTTTCCCTTTTGCCCCTTTTAGGCTTCTTGACCTTTTAGGTTTCTTGTCTTTGAGGGTAGAATTAGTGATTTTTTTTTAAAAAAAAATAATTAATTTTTTAAAATCACTGTCCAAATGATATCTTAAAATTAATTTAGAGTGACTTTAAGCTTTCTAGTTTGTCAAATTTGATCTTGACAATGGTAAAAATGATTTTGGTTATAGTAAATATGATTTGCATGTCATTTTCAACACCCTAATTCAACTTCGGTTGATTCGAGCGTTTGAAGCTTGTTTATGTTATAGCATTAAAAACATATCAATTAAGTCTCCATTACATGTTATACAAATTTTTATTTATTAAATAAATTTTAGATTAAAAAACACATTTTGTCTAAAGTAACAATTTAGTTTATGAACTTTAGTTCGTAATGATTTAGTTCATGTATTTTCACTAAAGTGACAATTTATTCTTTGAATTTTAGCTTGTAATGATTTAGTCCCTCCAATTTAAAATATGTAGTAATTTAGTTCCTATCGTAAAAAAATTAATAAAAATTAAGTGTTAAATTTTATCATATAACAATTTAATCTTCCTAATCTATAAACGTTTTGATGCCTCTTTAGTTTATCAATCTATATAATATAAGAAACTTGACAAAAAAGTTTTACGATAAGAACTAAATCGTTACCAACTTTAAATTACACGGAGTAAATTGTTACATTGACTAAATTGTTACTTTAACGAAATTAGAGAACCAAAAATGTTTTTTAACCTAAATTCTAATAATTGATGCATTGAAATTACTTTAGGCCGATCTGGTGGTTAAATGGGGGGCGTTCAAGGAGTGGGTTCAAATTATGATGATTTTATCTGCTCGATAAAAAGGTATTAAGAACACCACCGAATTAAATTATACCATGAACTAAATTCCAAAATTAAAGGGAAAAAACCAATTTTATTTTTATTTTTCCTTTTCTATTTTTTGAAAATTAAGCTTAGAATAACTCTCAATACTTCCACTCATACATTCTTTTGTCTTGTCATCAATTTTTTTTTTAAAATGCATGTTTTTAGCTATAAAACATGACCAAAAATGAGGTGAAGAGGGGGCAAAGTTGGTATTAGCAGTGTAAGTGGAAACTGTTTCCCTAAGAAAACAATTAAAAGAACAATAAAGGTTAGAAGCAAAAGAAAGAAGCTTTTTTCACTTTTCTGCAACCACCAAATGACAATAACACACTAAAAAATAGCTCATTGGTTAAATTTCTAGATTTGTTTTCTTATGACCATCCAACCCCTTGATATTTTTTAGACAAAAAAATAATAAAAATAATAAAAAGATAAAAACTTGGGTAGGTGGCCATTAAAGAGCAAGTAGGTGGTGGAGATCAAATGCAGACTTGTAAAATCAATCCTCCCCTCAGTACAATGTCCAAAATGATTTATTGCAATTTTTTGGAAAAAAAAAAAAAGTTGTGTAGATTTTGATTAAATGGGTGCCATGTTCTTAAAGTGAAACACCAAACAGTTTCAAATTCCTTTGGTACATTTTCAACACACTATTTAATATGGTAGCTGAAACAAAACCAAAAAGGAACCCTAAAAACCAAATCTATAAATCAAAAAAATTGAGTCACTCTCAATGTCTAATCTTAAGGACCCAGTGAAGACAACTGTCTTGTTTTTATGACTTTTGCCTTCCATGTAGGGCCTGAATCTACATGAGAGAGAGAGAGGGAGAGAGAGAAAAAAAAATGTTTCAATCCCATTCATTTTGGTCTATTTTGGCCGCAGTTAGCAAAATTCCAACACAAATTCTATACACAAGAAAAACTCTTCGATACAAAGATGTGACAGCATTCAGTGTTAAAACAAAGGGGCTAAAACAGGCGTCTCTAGAGTATGACCAAAGTAAACATTTTGAAAGCTAAAAGCACCCGAGACGGGGCGGGGGGTGTTGTCATTTCCTTTTCTTTGTAATCATGTTTAAGTAAAGTAACATATCCAACCCAGATGAGTGTTTAATGATAGTAATGTTGTGGTATTGAAGAAAGATCCATTTATTAAATGGTGATGGGGAAAAGGGTGTGTTTTAATTAAAGGCTTCTGCTTCTGCCCCTCTCTCTGCTCTTAATATTCCTTTCAATGCTGCAGATGGGGCTCCCCCAATACATGATCAATCCTGCACCAGAATGGGACTCTAAAAATATCTTTTAATGTATTCAATATTTTCAAAAAGTTTCTCAACTAACTTCAACAATCTTAGGGCTTTGATTTTGGGGTTTAGGACAAAGCCTACTCATCTGGGCTGTTCCTCTTGTTGTCTAAAGTTGTGTGTTTAAACAATCTTAATGGCTTTAAATTTATAAACTGTTGTCTCACAAGAAGCAACAGTAACCTATCAGGGAATGCCACCTGGAAGTGACTAAAACTACAAGTTTAAACAAATCAATGGCTAAAATCTTTGAGTATGTTCAAGATCAAAGGGCAATCTCTCTAAATCTTAATATCTTCAGAACAAAACAGAAGCAACCAAAACTCATGACAGAAGCAGCATAGTTGATCATTCAAGTAAGAGGAGGAATATGGTTTATTCACAAGAGGAATATAAAGCTATAATTACTCAAAATTTTTATACATGGGTGGGTTGGGTGATGATCAATCGTCTCGGTGTGATGTCCGTCCAACTGCCCCTGCTCGAACTACTGGAGCAATGATCTAACTCAAGTTTTAGCGAAAATTAAGGAAATTTTTTCTCTAGTAATTTACAATGCCAAGTCAACACAGTGGGGTAAGTGGAAGAATTTCACAGATCCCTTCTACATAAAGGGCAAGAGCCATGAGTAAGAAGCCATTTATCAATGCAGGGCAAATGGAACATGTGATGGCAATAGGGTAAACTTCTTACAGTCTCCCCAAGCTGAAAGTCCTGGGAAAATCGAATCCGAAAATACTATTAAGCAGCCATTTCAACGACAGAAGTTCTCTTGTTTATACGAAAGCAATAAACATAAAGATCCAATAAGTTAGAGCCTAACCTGAAGGCAAACTGAACAGCAGACTCTCTCCCCATAAGCATCTACGCTGTTGTTTTTAGATACAACGATCTTCGGGATCTTCTCGACTGAGTCTCCGGGCAACCCTTTAGCGCTACTTGTGTCGAAGATGTTCGGGATGTCATCAAAGCTTGCCTCTGTAGCACCCATCTGATTTACATCAAAACCAACACAACATTAGGTTCATCGTTCGTGAAGGTAGAACTGTTCAATTCACCAACCGCAATCAACGGCATTGGAAGAACTACCTGACTTTGAACTGCACTTAATATGGCCGGACCAATCCGTTCCCGAACCAGTCGTCCGCTGAGGAGGCTTGCAATGACATCAATCTACACAGAATTATATACAAAAGTGAATATGGGATATCAGAGACACCATTTCCCAACTCAAAAGCAGAGCAAAAAGATCACTTATGATGAGGAAAATTGAAGTGAAAGGCATTTAGATTGATATGTCGCTCAGATCAGCAAAGGATTTGGATAGGAAGTTTGCTCACCAGATAAAGAAGACATCCAATCCCCGATTCATCCGATTGCCAAAGAACCAAAGAAGATTCAAAGACTTCAATAGAGAAAACAGCTCCAGAAATTGCCCCAACAGCAGCTCCTCTAACAAATCCACTCTCTGTTTCTTGGCCAATCAATGCTCCAGTCATGGCTCCAAGCAACGTGCCCACTGCCAAACGCAACAAGAACAATTTAATTAACTTCAAACCAAATAATTTTCAGAAAAACGTGTTCTCTTTTCTTCTCCTATGGGCAAATCCAAATTTCAAGATGGCCTCAAACGATTCTCATGAAATTGAGAAAAGAAACAACGAAGAAACGAGAAACAAACCTAGGGCGAAGAAGAAGGTGAAGATGGCGGACAAGATGTTGCCAAGAATCGCAGAAACCGCGTAGCAGCAAATTTCTCTAACCCTCTCGAAGAGATTCCCAAACGAAGGCGATGACGACGAAGAAAACCGAAATGGGTTCGCAATGAAATCCATGGAAAAATCAAAGGGTCGGTCCAGAATCCAAATTGGGGGGGTTCAAATAAAGGGGAAGAAGAACAAGGCTTGCCTTCGTGCTTAAGAAGGGGAAGACGGAAAGCAACCGCATCAACCAACTCGCATTTAAAGCTCTCTCTCTCTCTCTTTGGAAAAGTTTTCTTTTGCACTCCAAATTAAAGGATTTAAGCGCTAATAAATCATGGGATTGCCTTGAAAACGACGGAGAAGAAGGGCAAAAGAAGAAGCGGGGGTTGGTTTCTTATGACAATTTCCCCGATTCAACGTGTAGAACAGGGTAATTAATTGGTCCACAACAAATCGCAGCAATTTGCACCGAGTTCTCCAGATTTCTCCAAAATGGCTGTACATACAGAGAGAGAATTAGAATTGAAATTGTGATCGCATACAATTCCCCAAGTCGTCGTCCACATATCTACCGGCGATCAAGTGGGTCGACCCAGACGAATTTCCTCCATTATTTTAACTTCTCCTTTCACCTGATCTTTTCAGGCCGATTTTTCTTTTGGGGATTTGGGGATTTGGGGATTGCGATTTATATTTCATCTTTCCGGAGAATTTGAGGCTGCGGGGATTTGGTAATTCGATACAACAATTGTTGTCTTTATCCTTAAAAAATAGGTGAATTTTTTTTAGTGCGTAAACTGTAAGGAATGATTTAGGAAAGAATCGTTAGACATTTAACAAAAAATCAGGATGATATTAAAAGTTCTAAACAAAATTCAAACTAACTACAAATTAAAGGACTAAATGGATAAATTTAACCTAATTTTAATCTCTATTTCCTAATTTAGTTTATATTTGGTCTCTTAGTAGTGCCATTTTTTTTCTTTTTTTTCATACTTATAAATATTTGAAAGTTCAAATTAATTGGTTATAAGACACAAAAGTATAGTCCAGAGAAGTTAAAAGACGTAAATGGTTAAATTGAGTTAATTAATTACAAATGATAATTACTGAGATGTTACTTTTTTGAAAAGATAAATGAAAATTAAAATTTTAAAGTATAAGGATCTAGATTGATTAAATGTATAATATGATGGCTAAGGATAAAAATGAGACGAGAGATTAATCTTGTCATTTTTATATGATTTTTTTAGTTTATAAATTTCAATCGAAAGTTGTTCGGTATAAAATAAATATAAATGTTTTGGTCAAACATTTAGAAAGGGAAAATTGTAATAAGTACAAATAGATATGTTATATTTGCAATTATAACATATGAAATAAACTTTACAAATATGAAATATGACAATTCTGTAGGAGGGGTATTATCCTATCTTTTATTGATAGAAAGTGATAGATGTCAACTATTGATAATTAGTACGGATTGAAATATCTTATATACATTCCAAAAAACGGTGACGTATTAGCAAACCCTTTTAATTTTTGGTTAGATTTGCTAATATTTTAAGCTAAGTTGCTATATGTGCTACTTCCTCCATTGAAACGAAACCGTAAAAAGTTATCAATTGTTATCTGGCTTCGAGCTCTAGAAACATAAAGAGAATTTTAAAAAAAAAATTGATGATTTAAAATTAGTTTTTAGTGTCAATATGAACGTAGTTAAGAGATTAAGGTATTTTGTTCCTTTTTAAGAGAGGTCGAAGGTTCAATCTTTCATCTCTCCGTAGTAAAAATTTTAATTTCTAATTTATTTTGGATACATTAAAAATGAGTTGCGATAGGAGTCAAATCATATCTCTTTTAGTGTGTGGAGGAAGAAACTAGTGAGACAAATTTATTCATCTTCTATAAAAAAAAATGTTAGTATTTTAGTGGTGATTTTTGTTCACATATGTTTGTGTATACATCCAAGAGAGGTATGATACTTTTGCTAATATTTTAAAAATATATTAATTTTTACAAATTTTAAAATTTTAAAAATCTCTCAATTTTCTTCCCCCAACGGTTAATATCTTGTCATAAAATATGGATTTCACCGCACAAAATGAAATAGCACATACTTCATAAACGAGACACAACATAACAATTCATCCTAAGAATAGATTCTTTGTCCCTCTTCTCTTACTTTTTATATACCCGCTAGTGTTCGGGTCAGCTTGCACGTATCTCAATTAATCTGATGGGACAATTGTATGTTCTTCTATCTTTGATTGTCAAAAGAAACATCTTTCAAGGTTTATCTTTAAATTAATTATTGTTAACCAGCTTCATTTTAAGAATTTCTTTTTAAAAAAGCCATTTACATTTGCCAAAACAAAAACAAATCCCTCCTCTAACAAACATACAGGGAGGTCTAATAAAAGAAATATAGAGAGAGAGAAAAATGAAAATGGATTTTTTTTCTTTTAATTGATAAATAGAGATGGTATTATCTAAGTTTAAAAATTATTTTTGTTGAGTTTTATATATTTTCAACTTTTGTTCATATTAATTTTTGTATTTTCAAAACGTTAATTTTGATTCCTATTTGCAAAATTTTAACACAAATTTTATACACAAGAGAAACCATTTAGTAAAAATTTATGGCTACATTTCAAGAAATTTAATAGAATGAACTGTCGTGTTAAAATTATAATTAAAATAAATGAGATAAAAATGAAAATTAAGGGACTGAAATAGTTGTTTTTTAAAAGTACATAAATGAAAATAGACATTTAAAAAATACAGAGACTAAAATAAACAAAAGTTAAAAGTACAAGAATTAAAATAGTATTTTTTTCTTCAGACAAAGAATTAAAATAGTATTTAAACTCATTATCTATTTATATTAGATTATTGTTTTAAACTCACATGATTAGGCTTTTCATAATCAATATCCACAACCACTTTTTTAATTAAAATCACCTCAAAGTTTGGCCTCTTATTCTTATAAAAACAAAAACAATTTTAGTTTAATGTAACGACTCAATCCAATGGAGGTAGCAATCCCTTTATTTAATTGAGATGCTATCTTTCAATATCCTTTAAAAAGAAAAATAAATTCTTTATTTTTTTTTTACTTTATATATATATATATGAGTTCATTTCAACTTTAAAATTTTTATTTCATCAAATTGGACTTTGAAACACTATGAGTAACAAAATACTCATTAAAATATACCAAAACAATAATACAAAAGAAACATATGGAATTTAGCCAAAATTTTATATCTACAAAACATGGAAAAATTTCATCATTAGAAGAGATAAGATGATAGAAAAAAGTTAGGTGGGCTCTTTTTTTTTTCCCCTTTCTTTTTTCCCTTTAAAGGGAAACTTAAATTTCAGAATTTGTATTTATCAGGTTAGGGACTCTAATTTGAGATGTTTTTAGTGATACAAAAAACAAAAATTTAATGGGAGTTCTATGTGGAGGGTTAGGTATGGAATTGACTTTTAAGGAAATCAAATTAAATTCTGCTTGAAATATTAATTCCACAAGAATTGTATTTCCCACTCGCTATCTCCCACCAAATTCTTTGGGGATGTCGATGAAAATGTTGAGGTTTCAATTTTATGAAAATGTTGATACAAATAGATTAAAATAAATTAAATTTTAATTTAAACACTATTGTGTTCTTTCTACTTTCGACTTTAGTTTATTTTGAGTATGATAATTTTGAAATGTCTAATTTGGTCATTGTAATTTTAAAAAGTGGCATTCCTATTTACAAAATTTTATACAATGAAAACTCTTTAATACAAATTTATGATTATATTTTAAAAAATTTAGTGAGGGAATGTCATTCTAAAATTTTGATCGAAATAAAAATGAAAATGAATGGATCAAGACTAAAAAGAACAAAAGTTAAAAGTATACGACCAAAATAGACGTTTTGAAACTATATAGATTAAAATGAACCAAAGTTGAATATACATGATCCAAAAAGATATTTGAATCTTAAAATTTATTAATATTACGTCTATGTCGGTGGTATTTTGTTAACGTCATATTTTATTATCAAATTTTTTGCGATATTATAAAATGTCAGATATCAAACTTATGAATGTACAAAAATGTTGACGAAAAGTTTAGGATTAAGAAGCTGAAAAGGTCCTTCATCTAATTAATTTCCAACATGAGGACTGAAATATATTTCTGGCCAAACACTATACACATTTCTACCATCAACTTTTATAAACTTTTATTTCTAAACTATAAAATAGATCAAATTAGTTTCTATCTATTCTAAAAAAAAATATATTGTTGTTGCCAAAATCTGCCTAAATTCCGAGATGTGACCTGTTAGGTCGGTGTGAGCTGTTCGAAATTAACTTTTTTTGTGGTACCTGCAAGAACAGGTAGGACACTCGACGTCCAAGTTAGTATGAATCAAAACTTAGACAGATCAATTTCAGACAGATTTTTATACCTGGTCTTGCGGGGTGGTGTTGTATTTATAGCCATCAAAGGGGTAGTTATCTGCCCCATCGTGATATTTTCTCGGGGGCGACAATCCAAGGACCATCGGTCTAAGGGGATGTCTTGGACCGTCCCCTCTTTCAAGGCATGGCATTTGAGGTGCTCTTGTTTGCGTCATAGTATTGTGCCCCGACCTGTTAGGTCCGCCTCCTCCCAACAGATCGATCCTCGGAGTTTACACACACATAGTTTTCATCTATTTTCAAACTAAAAATACTTTTCACGCATAGTTTTTTATAAAAAAAAATTAAAATTACAAAATGTAGGGCATCTCAAAATTTGACGTACCCTACTATAATTTATGGCAGTTGAAAAACTATATAAAAAATTAGGTATTATTAATATTTCAATCTTATAAATTTCTAGGGAAAGAGAAAAATAAATGGGAATTTTGTTTCAACTTTCAATTTTCAAAATAATTGACAATTCCCTTCGGACAAAGTCTTCAATGGCTACTAAACGACCGCGTTTCCATCTCTCTCTCTCCAAGCAAATTCCACGATGCCTATCGTAGACGACCATTTCAATCTCTCTCTTGCAAAATAAGTAATTAAATATTGGTTTTTTTTATTCAACACGTGAAAGTATAGATTTGAACTCACGAGTTTTTGGTTTTTGGTCGAACATAGATGATTAGACTATGTTTAAGTTGGTCTAAATATTGATTGACTTACAAATTGACACGTCATAAATTCTATCAATATTTTTATATGTCTATGGATTTGATATCAACATAAAATATGTATTGACATTTATATTGTATCTTAAAAAATTAACAAAATATCATTAACATGTACATAACGTTAATAGCGTAGCAGTTAACGTGTTTTGGTCTTTTTCTAGATGTCAAAAGTTCAACCCCTCATCCCACGTTACGTTTGTTGAAGATGTATAGTTTTCAACCTGATCTTCATCATCTTTAATCTCCTCCCTTCGAAACACACATCACAAATTTCAAAAGCTACAATACCACACCCAAAAACTTTATTTAGCTCAACAGGGAGATAAAAGTACTAGAACCATTCCAGAGTGGAGTGAAATTTTTTTTTTAAGGCAAAATAAGATCGTCTTACCTCGTCTTGTACCAATGAGTGTTGGCGCAGTGACAAATATATATATACATACTTTTATGACAAAGTAAGATCGTCCTGTCTCGTCTTGTACCAATGAGTATTGATACTGTGACAAGAGATTTGGACGTTCACATCCAATATCCAAGTTAAGTTGAAGCCTCCTTTGTTCAGAAGAAAAATAAATAAATAAATAAAAATAACCGCCTCGCCTTTGAAAGAAGAACTTAAGAACAAGATCGACATGTCGGATTTTATGTAGGATATGCCGACAAAACAACCGCCAGTGAAGTGATTAAGAGTCATCTTGTCTTTGTATCCAATCTTGTATTTATTTGCACTTATGCGATTGAATAAGATGCATCTGAAGTTGAATCTAGTTTTTCTAATATTCTACTAAAAGTTTAAGAAAGATGATACAAGATTTGAATCGATTATTACCAATAATTAGATAGGTATAAGATTCTCTTCTTTCTTGTAAAAGTAAAGATACGAGATTTTTTTTTTTTTTTTTGAAAACTGGGAGTCCTTTGCTCCTCAGGGGCACCCGCGCCCGCCCCAAGGTCCGGACCCGAGAGACACCAAGAGCTTTTTTGTATTAAGCTCACCAGAAGGTTTGAACCCGAGACCTCTAAGTCAGTATAACCCAGAGACCCCAAGCTCTTGCCAACTTGGTTGCCCCTTGGGGGCCAAGATATGAGATATTATTCAAATATTCTTTTTCCCAAGTTTTGGCAGTTTGTTGATATTACGGATAGACAACTTGTTTGTTTGTTTTCTACCTTGTTAAAAAAAACTTAATATATTAGATTTTTTATTATTTTTTTAAATATATTCGTGAGTGTTTAGGTGAATGTTTGGGCTCGTTTGTGCACACCTTAATTATTCTCATGAGACAACTACCTGATCCTACACATTTGGTTGCCAAGGCAATTCATAGGATAATAAAGCCTAGGTAGATGACCACCACGGTTCCCTTTACTAATTAATTCACCCTTAATGACCACTAGGTCAACCCAATGGTTTATATTAGAAAAACTTTTTTGTTTGGATTTCCAAGATTTGGATATAATTTTTAAAAACAATTTAAAAAAGAAAGAAGCTTATTTTTTAAAATGCAATGGGTACCAAATAGGATAAATAGGAATGCCTTAAGGCTTAAGCTATTACTTTTGCAGCCTATGAGCATGGTGTTGCCTGGGGTGGTGGTATTCAAGTTGAAAGGAAAACTGAAAGATGGTGTGACAGCCACTGACTTGGTCTTGACAGTAACTCAAATGCTCAGAAAACATGGGGTTGTTGGAAAATTTGTAGAGTTCTATGGTAATTTTCATATTCTTTACTTCTTTGTTAGCTCTCTAAAATGATTTATCCTGCCCTTCTAATTCATCAGAAAGCAAAAAGAAAAAAAAAAATAATAATAATAAAAATACCTGTCATTTTCTTCTGCAGGGGAAGGCATGAGTGAAATTTCTTTAGCAGACAGAGCCACCATTGCTAATATGTCTCCCGATTATGGTGCAACAATGGGTTCCTTTCCTGTGGATCATGTCACCTTGCAGTATCTGAAACTCACTGGCAGAACTGATGAAACTGTTAGTCAACTATTTTAAAAATATAATCTTCTTTATTTATTTATTCATTATTATTTTTTGTTTGGGGGGGTGGTTGTTTTCTCTTTGTTATGACTAAACTGAAGTTTTTATTTAGGTTTGTATGATAGAGTTTTACTTGAGGGCTAATAAGATGTTTGTGGACTATAATGAGGTCAGTCCAGAACTTCATTCCATACTCATCAAAATGTATTCCCCTAGAAAACAGATGGTGAAAGATTTGATTTCTTTCAATTACATACCATATACTACTGTTTGATTCAGCAACTGGAAGAGAGAGTTTACTCCTCTCATCTAGAGCTCAATCTTGAGGACGTCGAACCATGTGTTTCGGGCCCTAAAAGGTACAGTCTCAGGTTCTTTTCCAATGTAGACTTCATTTTCATTTTCAAGACCAAACATGAAGTATAGACTCCAACAGACTTCATTTCCTGAGCTTAATTTCTTGCGGTTACATACCCATCAATATCAATGAAATTGAATTTATTTAAATCATGTTCTATGACTTCAAATGTTGAAAATAATGATACTCTATAAAATATCAAAAGCAAAAGACTTCGACCTGACAATTGGAAAGATATCTTATCATGCTCGTCCTTTTCTGATACAACTGTTTGATAGTATAATCCGTTCTGTATAATTCACAAACTTCCTCCGGGAATGTAATGCTTCACAGGCCACATGATCGGGTCCCTTTAAGAGAAATGAAAGAAGATTGGAATTCATGTCTAAACAACAGGGTTGGATTTAAGGTTTACCAGATTCCTTTTTCTTTCAGATATCAAGTTTTTCCTTTCCAATATGCTCTTTCGGCTGTATATGCTTCTGGAATTGATTGTGCAGAGCTTTGCCATACCAAAGGAATCACAAACTAAAGTTGTGGAGTTCAGTTTTCATGGAAAACCAGCTGCGCTTAGGCATGGTGATGTTGTAATAGCAGCTATTACCAGCTGCACCAATACCTCCAATCCTAGTATAATGCTTGGAGCTGCTTTGGTTGCTAAGAAAGCTTGTGAACTTGGTTTAGAGGTGTGTTAGTTATTACCTTCTTTCTACCTCCTTTTCTTTGCCTGCATAAAAAAATTATATTCCTAAACACACCCTTGATCTCTTGCCCTCTCCATAGGTTAAGCCTTGGATAAAGACCAGTCTTGCTCCAGGTTCAAAGGTGGTAACCAAATACTTGCAAAAGAGGTGCGCACCATTAGACTCTCCTAATGCACTCCTGATGTTAGATGAGAAGTAAGGATAGAATCAAAAAATTTAACATGAAATGAACTACTCTAATTCAACTGGTCTTCTGAATGATAATTTTATTCTGTCCTTCTCTGGCTGCTGCTGTTGTTTTATGGAGGTTTATTTTTCTCTAAGTCATGAATTGCACTTCTGCAGTGGATTGCAGAAGTATTTAGATCAGCTGGGGTTCAATACTGTTGAGTATGGATGCACAACATGCATTGGTAATTCAGGCGATCTTGATGAAGAAGTAGCATCTGCAATTACAGAAAATGGTAAAGAAAAGTTAAGTTGTTCCCATTTGTACTCTTTAGCCTCTCTAGCTCAGGTGAGCGATCAAACCACTAATGTCATGCATTTGCAGATATTGTAGCAGCGGCTGTTCTGTCTGGAAACAGGAACTTCGAGGGCCGTGTACACCCTTTAACAAGGGCCAATTATCTTGCCTCTCCTCCTCTTGTGGTCGCCTATGCTCTTGCTGGCACGGTAAGATTTAGGTGGTCTAGATTTTCTTGAGTTTTCAAAGCCAAATCCTAGACCATCGAAGAATAAGCCAAACATTATGGTTTTAACAGGCCATTTTGTGGAACAAATATCATATTTCACATTGCACATCAAATTAACATCCAACTCAATTTTGATTCTCTTCTTTGTTTTATAAGGTTGACTAGACCAGTTCAAATTTCCTGATAGATAGATATTGCAAATCGGAGCACCCTCGTCCTTGAAACCTCAATGACATGTTCTTGTACTGAACTTGTTGATAACTTGATAGTGAGCTTCTGCTGCTATAGGTGCACATTGATTTTGAAAATGAACCTATTGGAGTTGGAAAGGAAGAGAAGAAGATATTTCTCAGGGATATTTGGCCATCAAGTGTAGAAACAACACGTGTAAGTTGCAAAACGAATACAATGCTCTAGAATACTTGAACAGGACTGAGTTCACTTTGAATGGTTCATAACTCAGATTTGAATCATCACACCACTTTTTACCTTTTGTTTGTTGTCACTTGTTATAGGTTGTAGAATCAAACGTCTTGCCTGATACGTTTTGGGAAGTATATGAAGCAATCGACAAAGGCAATTCAACGTGGAATCAATTAACTGTACCTTCTGGAACTTTGTACGATTGGGACCCATCATCGACTTATACACAAGAGCCTCCTTTCTTCAAAGACATGACCATGTGTCCTCCTGGACCCCATGCTGTGAAGGATGCTTACTGTTTGCTCAGCTTTGAAGACAGCATCACAACGGACCATATCTCACCATCTGGTAGCATCCACAAAGACAGCACAGCTGCCAGATACCTAATGGATCACGGGGTTAATCGAAAAGACTTCCATTCTTATGGAAGTCGTCGTGGCAACCACGAGGTGATGATCCGTGGTACTTTTGCCAATATAAGACTTGTCAACAAGCTATTGGATGGAGAAGTTGGACCTAGAACTATTCAATTTCCTACTGGAGATAAACTTTCCGTCTTTGATGCTGCCGTGGTACAGATATCACTCCCTCACGGCCTCACCTTTAGCAAGAAATCTGTTCATTTCTTTCATCCTTTTTCTCTTAATAAGTTTGATGGGTATATTTACTCTTGGCTCAATACTGAATTAACAGAGATACAGGAGTGAGGGTCATGATACTATTATCCTTGCTGGAGCTGAGTATGGAAGTGGGAGTTCCCGAGATTGGGCTGCTAAGGGACCAATGCTTCTCGTATGTTTTGATAGCTTCTATATTCAATGAGTATTTGTACTTGCCTTTTCAAGTAATAGCTTAGATATTGTATCCGTGGCAGGGAGTAAAAGCAGTGATTGCTAAAAGCTTTGAGCATACACATCGTAGTAATTTGGTGGGAATGGGCATAATCCCTATCTGCTTTAAGCAAGGAGAGGATGCAGAATCTCTTGGACTGACTGGCCGCGAACGCTATAGTGTTAAAATTCCAAATAACATCAAGGATCTCAGACCATGTCAAGATATTACTGTGATGGCAGCAGCTGAAAATAGGAAGTCCTTTCAGTGCACACTTAGATTTGATACAGAGGTACTTGAAATCAACTTACTTATATAGCTTCGAAATCTCAGCCTTGTAAAGATCAGGAAAGCTCAGGCATTGGTTAAAATGGGTGCAGGTCGAACTCACTTATTTTGATCATGGAGGAATTCTACACTACGTGATCAGAAATTTGATCAGCACACGAGAATAAGTCAATAACAAGGCCGGGTTGGATGATCAAATAATCTGAATGTAGAATATTTCCCGGAGAGCATTCCTCTTCTTATTCTATATAGTAACAATCAGGTCAGGTCTCCACATTTCTACAATAGAATTACAAGCATCCAGCATATGAACAAATTTTCTTTCGTTTTCCTGCTTATGTGTATGTTAAGAGTATTGGAAAGGATGGTAAAATTGAAAGAAGACAAGTGAGATACCTGTCAATGCCTGCCCTGTCCAGTGTCTGGAAAAGAAAAAGAGGAGCCCTCCCCTTCCTCTTGATTTGCGTCCTTGCTTTTTGACATTGATCAAATGCAAAAATGAATCTCTTCCAGCCTACGGTTAGTTGTTGATATGATCGAAAGTGATTAGCTACTTAGAGGTAACGGTAAAGTTGAACTTGCCGGTGCAAGAGCTAGTAAGGGTGAGGCAGCTATCGGGATTGCATTTAATTTGGCAGTTCATCATCTAATTATGCAGATGTTTAAGAAACAATTGGTCTGTCAACTACATCTGTAATAGTTCATGTCAGCTTTGAGTAGCAGGATTCGAAGTAAGAATTAGTCCAGCTACAGGAGCTTGATGACAAACATTTAACTGAATTTCACTTGCTTAAGTCATGCTCAGACATTTCTTTTATTAGAGATTAGAAAAAATTACAAGATGAGAGATATTCCCTGCCTAAACAAAGTTCTTTGGGATCACTAAAAAAAGAATATTGTGATAAAGAACTACAGAAAAAAAAAAAAAAAACTTTTATTCCATGACAAAAGCAATCGAATGAGCCAGAAGAGGAAACAAACATTCTATTGCATTCAATTTATTTGTACAGGAAAATCAAAACTCAGTCGTGTGTATACATATGAATAGATGGTCTAGACAATATTCACAAACCCCATGACAAAAACAGCCATCTACATAGAAGTTAAACACATATGACAGACCCAATTCGTAAAACTTCCAAACCCTAATTTTGCGATAATAAAATCTTTCAACTCCCTGAGACAATCCGGAGAGCCTTGATCTTGAATCTGTACCTAGGAGCTCTGGGAATAACCTGGCTAGGTCCGAAGTGGAACTGACCTGGACTGTCGGTAAGAGGAGGCCCGTCGTCGTAAACGTAGCCTACGAGATGGCCGCAGGCAATGCACTTGATCTTGGTGCGCTTCCGCTGGATTCCCCAGTAATTGAGGGTCTCGAAGAATGGTCTGAGCTTGTCCTCCTTCTCGAGCCTGAACTTGGTGGAGTCGATCGACGAAAAGGAAAGAGTGCCCTTGTTTCCGGCCTCGAAGTAGAAATCCGGCGGGAAGAGATGACCGGAACTCAGATTCAGATCAGCTCCGCATTGTGTACAGCAGTAGATGGAAGCCATTGTTGAAGAGAAATTGAGGAGGAGATTTTGTATGTACGTTACCGGATTTTAACCTCTGAAAACTCGGATTGTTCAACCGAAAACCTCGAGTTTGAGACGAAGATTGAAGGAAGCTTCTCTGATACGAAAGTCTGCTAGTCCGCGGCCAATGGTCATCGATGGAAATTGAGTCCAAAAAGACTGCAAATTGGATAACAATTACTATTCTAAAAATACTAAAATTTGATATGTATTTTCATTTCTTTTTTAATTGAATATTTATTTATAAAATTTGTGTTAGTTTTATAAATAGTACAAATTAAATTTAGAGAGTATAAGAAACAAGGAGTAGTAATTATAGTTTAATAAATATAAGGGTTATATCTGATTTTTAATTGTATTCATTTTGATAATTTTACTTTTGTTTTCTTTTCTAGTGCAATAAATATGGAATAGATGATTGAACCTCTCATATGCAAGGTGTTTGTGGGCTAACTTCATGTTGGATTGATAATTTTACTTAAAAGAATGACTATTGGATATTGACCTGATTTGATATTTTTAATTATACCATAAACAAAACCAATGAAAGATACAAAATATCACTAATAAAGAAAAAAAAAACCATTAATAAACACATAACATTAATAACCATAATTAATTTTTTTGTAAAAAGATAAAAGACTTATTTATTCATTTAAATAATTTTTTTAATATTTCCGTAACTATTAATCACATGTCGTGATGTTGTCCGCATTTAAAACATAAGTTGATGGTTATAATTCATTAATAAATTTATAATAACTAAAATCTTAAAAAAAAAGATCTATTAAATCTAAGAATAATGATATTTCAAATTGGTCAAGACTCTCCAATTTATGGTCGCTTATTTATGGTACTGTTGAATTTGTTTCACTAATAGGTTTACGATTTAACTTTGATCGTTATGGATCGGTATCAAAATCTAGTTCCAGACAGGTAGATTTAATTTTAACAGGTACCGTAACAATGAAAATAACTTATTATTTAGTAAGATAATACGAACAAATGTCTGAAGTAAAATATGTTATTGCTATGGGGAGCATGAAAAAAAAAATCACCAATCCAACGAAAAGGGAAAAGAAAAAAAAAAGGCATCGGGTCAAGCAAGGTCAAGATAGTAAATTCACAGAGTTGGCGAGAGCCGCCCCAGGGGGAGTTGTTCGTCTATAAATACCCGACTAGGGCTATGTTTTTCGGTTGATTTTGAGGCTCTCCTCGACGGGGGTTTCTGCGCGAGCGAGGGGGAGACTTCGCTGTCGAGAGTTGCAGAGAAAATCGAGCGGGGAAAACAGAAAACTAAAATTCAGAGTTCGAATCACAAACATTCTATCTCAACCAACAGTTTTTTAAACTCAATCTCCAGCTCTCCTACTTGCTTGCTTTAGGGCTTTCTTTCTGCTATCGGATCGCCATGGATTTGCGATTCCCATACTCGCCGGCGGAGGTCGCCAAAGTCCGCATGGTTCAGTTCGGCATACTCAGCCCCGACGAGATTGTAACTCTCTATCCACCTCAATTTCTTCTGTTTTCTGTTTGGTACTATGTTGAGGGGTCGTTCTGGGATGTGAAATGCTTTTGCATTTGTGTGAACTGAGTGTACTTTATGCAGTGGCTCAACTTGAATTTTTGATCGATATTGTGTTCTTGATATTTGCTCTGCTTGTTTGTGAAGGCCCAATTCGAAGGATGAAGTATTGGCAATGTTTTATTTTTTTTTGGTTTCTTGTTTCTCGTCTTTTCTTCACTAATTGATGTCCTTTCCCCCCCAAAATAATTAGAAATGCTTTGCTTTTAGTATTCGTTTCTGGGTTCTTATTCTCTCGTAAGTTTGAATTAAAAAGTTGAAGTTTTATATTAAAATTAGTTTTAAAAACAATTAATTCCAAATTATTATGTTATATTTTATTTATTTATTTATTTTTTTGAAAAATTGGGAATAGGAAACAATAATCTAGAATCGTTTTGTTTTCTAAATGTGTATACAATTAGTTTCTTATGAACGAGAAATGAGAATTATAGTCAGTTACAAAGTGCATATGTTTTTCAAAAATTGGGAACAGGGAATGAGAAACAATAATATTACCAACTTCCTCCTAGCGTCTAAACCATAGTCTTTTGGTTGCAGAGGCAAATGTCTGTGGTGCAGATTGAGCATGGTGAAACTACAGAGAGGGGCAAGCCGAAAGTAGCTGGTTTGAGTGACCCACGACTTGGTACAATTGACAGAAAAATGAAGTGTGAAACTTGCACTGCGAACATGGCCGAGTGCCCTGGGCACTTTGGGCACCTCGAACTCGCCAAGCCAATGTTTCATATTGGGTTTATGAAGACTGTGCTCACTATCATGCGGTCTGTTTGTTTCAACTGCTCAAAGATTCTAGTTGACGAGGTACTGTTTTCTTACTCGACATTATATTTGATGTTGTCCGGAATAGTTTTTTTATGGTCTATCCATTATCAAATTAGAATTTCACGCTCCACAGATTTTCTTTATGAAGAATTCCAGAAGAGTGCATAGGATATCATTTGCTAGGATTTGTTGTGGTGTTAGACCATGTAATATGTCCATCAGTTCATGCACAATTTTTTAAGAGTAAAGTGAAAAGATAAATAGAATGCATATCCAAGATGTTGGGGTAACCGTTGATAATCATGTTGATTTGGGTATAAGCGATCATTATCTCTTTGAGTTATTCCAGCCTCTGTAAAATAGTCAATTACGCTCAGCAACCTGTTTTAATTTTTCAGGAGGACCCTAAATTTAAGCAAGCATTGCGAATAAAGAATCCCAAGAACAGGCTCAAAAAGATTTTGGATGCCTGCAAGAACAAAACCAAGTGTGAAGGTGGAGATGAAATCGATGTCCAAGGTCAAGAATCAGAACAACCAGTGAAAAAGGGTCGGGGTGGCTGTGGTGCTCAGCAGCCTAAGATCTCAATCGATGGAATGAAAATGGTTGCAGAGTACAAGGCTCAAAGGAAGAAAAATGATGACCAGGAGCAGCTGCCTGAGCCGGTGGAAAGAAAACAGACACTTAGTGCTGAAAGGGTGACCATTTGCAGTCTTGATTAACTTTCTTCTTTAATAAAGTTTGAGTGTACCCCCTTCATGAGGTCACATGTTTGATGGATTTTTGTAGGTTCTTGGTGTTCTGAAGAGAATAAGTGACGAGGATTGCAAACTCTTGGGCCTAAATCCAAAGTATGCCCGGCCTGATTGGATGATTCTGCAAGTCCTTCCAATTCCTCCACCTCCTGTGAGACCATCCGTTATGATGGACACCTCATCTAGAAGTGAGGTATGCTGTGTGCATGTTTTGCTCTCATTCTCTGATGTCTAAATGATTCTTGTTTTGATTACTTTTTTTTCCCAAGAAATTTTGGTTTATTTTTATGGTTTGTTTCCGAGATAGTGCTACCAGTATGATGTTTTTGACTATATCAGATTGGTTTTGACATGTCATTTCTTAATCCAGGACGATCTAACTCATCAGTTGGCTATGATTATAAGGCACAACGAAAACCTCAGGAGGCAAGAGAGAAATGGTTCTCCTGCACATATCATTTCAGAGTTTGCACAATTATTGCAGTTTCATATAGCCACGTATTTTGACAATGAATTACCTGGACTGCCCAGGGTATTAAGTCTCTTTCAAGACTGAAGCTATATGATTATATTTTTTGGTCAACTATTTTTATTTTTACATTAGCATGCTGCTTTATCTAGGCCACACAGAGATCTGGGAGGCCCATTAAATCTATATGCAGTAGGCTCAAGGCAAAGGAAGGTCGGATCAGAGGTAACTTGATGGGAAAACGTGTGGATTTTTCAGCAAGAACAGTTATCACACCTGATCCAACAATTAATATTGATGAATTGGGAGTGCCGTGGAGTATTGCTTTGAATCTTACATATCCAGAGACTGTGACACCATATAATATAGAGAGGTCCATGTTCTTCAAATTGTTCACTTCTAGCTTCATACTTGTTTCCCTTTCCATTCATTGTTTGCAAATGGTCTCATCTTTTGAAAATCAGGTTAAAGGAACTCGTTGAGTATGGTCCCCATCCTCCACCCGGTAAAACTGGTGCAAAGTACATTATACGAGATGACGGGCAGAGGCTCGATCTTCGATATCTTAAGAAAAGTAGTGATCATCATTTGGAGCTTGGCTACAAGGTAAGTTATTCTGATCATGCATGCAATCTTATTATGTTAGGCAATTTACAATTCCTGCCTTTCTAATTTTTTCGCACCTGTGATCATAGGTGGAACGTCATTTGAATGATGGTGACTTTGTACTTTTCAATCGTCAGCCAAGTCTTCACAAAATGTCTATTATGGGACACAGAATCAAGATTATGCCTTACTCAACTTTCCGCCTTAATTTATCTGTCACATCACCTTACAATGCAGATTTTGATGGTGATGAAATGAATATGCATGTTCCTCAGTCATTTGAGACTAGGGCAGAAGTGTTGGAGCTCATGATGGTTCCCAAATGCATTGTGTCACCTCAGTCAAACCGTCCTGTAATGGGGATTGTGCAAGATACTCTGTTAGGATGCCGTAAAATTACAAAGAGGGATACCTTTATAACAAAGGTGACAGGGATATGATTGTTATCTCTTATCCTTTAAGAAATATCTCCTGCTTCTTGTTAGTTAGGATTCTGAAATTTCACTGATAATTTGCAGGATGTTTTCATGAATATCTTGATGTGGTGGGAAGATTTTGATGGGAAAATTCCTGCACCTGCAATCTTGAAGCCGCAACCTCTTTGGACTGGAAAACAAGTTTTTAATCTTATTATACCAAAGCAGATTAATCTCACAAGAACTTCTGCCTGGCATGCTGAGTCGGAAACTGGATTCATAACTCCTGGGGATACGTTTGTTAGGATTGAGAAGGGGGAGCTAATTTCTGGAACTCTTTGCAAGAAGGCTCTTGGAACATCAACTGGAAGTCTCATACATGTTATTTGGTATGCATTAGTAATAGTGCTCATGCACTGCTTTTCTAAAGATGTCTGCTATAATCATCATTCATCGTCTTTAAAAAAAGTAGTTGCACTTGTTTGAATCCATACTAATTGCAATATGATGCATTTGGAAAAGATATTGTCTGACTCTTTGATTAATTGCTGACGTCTGTATCACAA